GGTAAAATGGTAAATATATGCTCTGCAAAGTCTCCAATAAAATGCAAATTAAATAGTAAACAAATAAAAGTGATGGAATAAATAAGATGATAGGACACTTAGTTAAGCGTTAGATCCTTACTAGTTGGTCATAACTCATAACTGTGGTACATAACAGACAACTATTGCGATGTACAAGCATACGATTAAAGTACAAATAATACAATAATTATATATGCATTTGTTTTCTTATTTTTGTAACTGTAACATTGCAAATTTTACAGAAAATTTCTGGCCTTCGACCCAGGTTCCCAGAAAGAAAAAAAAATTTTCCACCCCTGGTTACAGGTTTAATAAATGTAGGCTATAAAATTCACACTCGAAATTTCCATCTATAAAAATGACCCATCTTTCTGTAAAAATGACCCATCATTTTTAGTAATAAATTAACTTTGTCCAAAAAATAATACGATTACCTTATATAAAGTTGGCCCAACAGCCGATAACCAAATACCCATAGAGACATCTTCGCCCTAAAGTACAATATGAAACATGGATTTGATTCCCTTTCTAATAAAGTAACTTCATACTGAATCTTCATCAGTTCTACACTGGTCTCCCTAGAGGCTCAGCAAGGGTCATCCCCAGGGGCAGATCTACCATACGGGTACAGGGGGTGCACACCCCACTTAGTGGTGTCTCTACTATTGAAGAAACCTTCACAGCGCAAGAATCAAACCTCTGCCACAGCGGTAAAGGCACATGCTACATGTACTAACGCTGTAAATTTCTACCACTTTAGGAATGTGAAATTACCTGGTAGCGTTTCAGCGAATCTGCATTTCCCGCTAACCAATGAACAAGGTCAGCCGAGAGTACATTGCCCGCACCGCAGGCGAAGGTTGGGTACGTCACACCCGGATAGTCGGGCTCAGCCCATTTCCCCTGGCGTTCAATAAGCCAGTCGGAACGAAAGCTGGTAAATAAAAAAACAATAGCAAAGAATAAGAAAAAAAACATTTTAAAAATGAAGCATTTTAGGTGCCATTACTGTTGTTGAAAATTTCAATTTGTTTTTGAAGTGTTTTGTCAACAAAAGCTAATCGCATTACCTGCTCCACCAGAGTTTGGATTTGTTCTTTAACTTGTACTCTTCCATTTCCTATAAAAACCATATTGGGAACACAATTAATTCCATTTCTCGTGCCGATCTATTTTGTTCTTCGCAAACCTGTCAACAAATTGCGACATTGCTGCAAGGTTCTCACTCACAACTTGTTAGCCAGTTTTCGGCATACCCTATAGCCACGGCTTGTGGTTATAAGGTACGCTTGTTTTCGGCATAACTTATAGCCACGGCTTGTTGCTGTAAGGTACGCTTGTTTTCGGTATACCTTATAGCCACGGCTTGTGGTTATAATGTACGCTTGTTTTCGGCATACCTTATAGTCACGGTTTGCATGTTGCTATAAGGTACGCCTGTTTTCGGCATACATTATAGCGACGGTTTGAGAGGCTCTTTATATGCTCGAGAACGTTGTCGCCCAACGAAGTGAAGTTGATAAAACTTGCTTACCTGAAGAATGTTTTCTAAATCCACAAAACAGTCATCATCTGTTTTGAGTGCGAAGGAAAATGGCACATTTTCTGCAATCCTGTGAAGACAAAGTTAATTGATGCCATTTAAGCAGTTGTCTGCGGCTGTTGGAAAAAGACAATTCTGCTGAGAATTAGATTTGGCCAAAAATCCCCCCCCCCCCCTGGATCGTTGACATCTTGGCGTTTAGACTTGCATTTCCGATTGAATGCCGACCTCCTACTCAAGTGCACGGAATGTAAAAACCTCAACCTTCCAACCCCTCTCATCCCCCTCGCCCCATCAAACAAAAACAGGCTCAGTATGAGTTTCGTACCAACGATAAAATCCCAACAACTGTGATGGAAGATTTCTGTAAACATCAACATTAGGAACAAAAAGTACATCAGAAAACTTCTTGCTCTCTTCTTGCAGACGAACATTTTCCTCCTGTTTCAATTGCTGCCATTCCAAGACTCTGTCTTGTCTTTCTTCTTTGGTGAGGCTCTTCCCTGGAGCAGCATCTGAAATAGCGATGGAGCAGTGTTTGATGGGGTATTGATGGTAAATGTATGCACTGTCTATATGGTGTATGTACATCATAGCAGGAAATAATATTTGTTTGTGATATAATTCGTGAAGATCACGATCACGAATACATTATTATTTCCGACAACATGAAGAGTTACGAGTTTTAAGCGTTTTATCCGCGAAGGATCCACGTTAATAGTTTAAAAGGAAAGCGGCAAAAACTCACCTAAACATAGAAAACATACTATCCACCTAGAGTTATTTACATTAGTTTATTTTCAAATTAATAAGGTATAATAAATCATTTATGGTATTATTATTTCACTCGGAGAAATATTACCTTCGCTCAGTGACGATACTTGTATTAGAGACCTTACGATTTTAGGACGGCAACGCGACGGCCAAAACAAACTCCTTCAAATAAATGGTAGTAAAGATAGTTCGTCGTATATTGTCAATCGTATGAATTTAATACAGTTTTAGAAGATGAAGACATGGGTTTTATGGCTGGGAAGAGTTCTGCTAAACCCAGTTTGAAGTTGCACTTGTTGTGGTTTGGAATGCAGCCGTTGTATCAAGACGTGAAAATCTGTGATCTAGCGTTGTAAACAGAGCGAGGAGAATGTCTAAATTATTCATATATTGTAATTACTCAATTCTTTTCAATTGTAGCCGTTGCCGTCGCGTTGCTGTCCTAAAATCGTAAGGTACTCCTATTTTTCTCGGAGTACCGCCCTCGGCCGGGAAATATCATCAGTTCGGTAATATTTCGCCGAATTTCCCCTCGCTCCGGATCTATGCTTACCATACGCGAGATACATAAAGGTTCCTGTGCCGTGTACACATCTTTCATCTGGCGTGGTCTCTTCGATTTCTGGAAAACTACCACCATCACTGCTAAATCTTCTTACCTACAAAAGCGTCTATATCTAAGATTCTTGTATACTGAAACATTCATTCTTAAAAACAGCTCGCAGTCTTTAAAACATTCTTACCGAATAGACCTTTCCAGTAATTGCGTCACAACTACACTGTTTTCAACCTAGGACCACCTTAAATGGAATAGATTTCAAGTCTGCTGCTCTTACCATAGCCCGTGAGAAACAAACTTAAAATCCATTCTATTTAAGGTGGTCCTAAGTTGAAAACAGTGTTAGTCGTGACGTAATTACCGTTTCCGAATTCCATTCCATTTTCCAAGGCCAATGCATGTGATTTGGGTCAAAAATTATTGTCGACGGTACCTTGAGCGTTTTAAATAGCCCGCCGTTATCCTGAATATCAGTAAATTCTTCGCATTTTCTGCAGCCAGGGCTGGTACACTTGGAATTTTCAATGACAATACTGGCTTGAAAATCCTGAAAAATACCACCGTTCATTATGCAACATTAGAAACATGTTACAACTTGCAAAAATATGCCAACACTTTTAATGTCACCAGTTTATAAATTTCCCAACTAAACTTATAAGCGAACCTTTGGTAAAATATAATTTGGGACAGTTTTAAACCTGCTGCCATTTACTTGAGTACCAGTACTTTCAACCGTAAAGTTGACGCTGACTATTTCTTTCTATAGAAATTACAAGAGAATAATTTTCTGGTGCTTAGATACTAGATAGATTTGCATAAGGAAGAATATATGTTCATTGACATTGTTTCGTTCTTGTGTAGAAAGTACCAACCTTAGATATTCTGTCGAATAGACGAACTGTAGTATTGGTGTTAATGTTTTCACTCAAGCCATTGGTAGATATACCCAAACTTGTAATGACCAGTGGATATAGCACCTGAAATAGAAAGTAGAATTGATCAGACTATCTTAGTATACCATTTTCTGGTTGATTGAACTTTGTAAAATTGTTAAACCACTGAAGATGAACGAAATAGATTCGAAATATATATATACAATTGTAAAAAATTGTGTTTTATAATTATGCACATTTTTTTCGGAATAATTTTAATTTTATTTGAATGGATTGAATGGTTTTAAAGATTTGCCATATACATGTAGAAACCATGGATTAAAAACTAAATTCTTACCATTGATTATTGACTATTACAAATTCAAGAGTGGGTAGTAGTGAAGTAGTTGTAGTTCGCTACTGTAGCGAACTACAATTTTCAAGTAGCCAGTAGTTTTTGACTACATTTTTAAAACAGTAGCTGTAGTTATAGCGAACTACATTTTGCCTAAAAGTAGCAAGTAGTTGACTACTTTTCAAACAGCAAATCGCTATTCGCTACTTTTAAAAATTGTTAACAACTTGATAGAATAGCATGATATTGAGATACGGTTTGCTTAAAATCAATACTCAATTAATAGTCAATTTGCACTCCTGAGCACTGTACGTAGTGATTACAAAAATGTTGCTTTGTGTTTATACTGTTGTTACTCGTAAGTCTATTTGTTATAGGTTACATTACAGTCTGAGTTAGTATAAATGCTCCAAATACAGTAAAACTAAAAAATATAGCGTAGGCGTAGCGAAATAGCGAAATAGTTCGCTACATTTTTTAAGCAGTAGCTATATAGTCAGTAGCGAACTACCTTTGTTCAAAAGTAGCAGTAGTTGTAGCTGACTACATATTTTTGAAGTAGCTGTAGTTATAGCGAACTACAAAAAAATTGTAGTCAACCCACCCTTGTACAAATTTCCCAAATAGTAAATTGGCAAAAACCATGATCTTTAATTATTCCCATTTATAATGGCATTTAACTGATATAAGTTGCTCCACAAGAAGCAGGGATTACTGTAAGGTTCTGATTTTATAACAACATGATCCAGGCAAGAAGAACAAAATCCATCACCACAGCTAGAAAGAGCATGCAGTTAAAATTAGTAAAATTGTAAAGTTTGGTTGCAAAATGTTGTAAAATGAGGAAAATATGGCCCTACAAAAATTGCAAATTTTGTATTAATTTGTATTACACACAATAATTACGCACAGGCAAATGCACCACATCTGAGCTGAAAGTGGTGCAAATTCCCATGTGTACATGTGTAATACAAGTTAATACAAAATTTGCAAATTTCGTAGGGCTATATTTTCCTCATTTTAACACGCTCTTTCCAACTGTGGTGATGGATTTTGTTCTTCTTGCCTAGATTAAAATTTAGTCTATAGCTGAAGTTGCCCATTATAAAAAAAAAATTATAACAATAAGTCATAGTGTCATACGTTGAAGTCTCTTCCAACTGGTCCTTCATTAAGGTAACCCAATGTGATGCCTTCTGGCATTTGATAAGCAATGAGTTCCTTTCCCAAATCTGCAAGCATAATAGATATAGGTAGAGTGTATTATATACATAAATCAATGACATACCGTACAAAACAAAGTGTATAGTTTTTAGGATTTATGTCAATCAATCTGTACCTATATCTTTCAGAACACTCTCTTCACATCTGTATGGATCAACTCTAAACTCTGGAGGTATTGAGCATGACTCATTTGATATGATGAATTTGATCAAAATCCTGGGGGGAAAATTATTAATTAACAACAAGGATAAAAGGATTCACTGCAAAAAGCTGAAATATTTTTATAAAAACCAGGGGGGGGGGTGTGAAAACTGTGGCGGGCCCATAATTGAACCTTGTTCAGGGACCAGTATATAGTCATGGAAATGGCGTCATTTTTCATCAAAATCCGTCATTTTTTTGGCGACACTTCGTTGACTGAACAAAATATAGGAGCAGGTCCTCCAGTTATTATACAGCTCAGTGGTCTTATCCAATTTAAGTGCACAAAATATTTTCATGACAACTTAACGCTTGTCTTGGAGGTTGTTCAGTGTTTCAATTTTATTTCCAAACCATCCTCAAAGATATTGTATAAAAAATATTTACTTACAATATTTTTCGTCAATTATGTATGTATTCGTTTTGTAGCCGTATATTCTTATATACTTTATAACAGATCCAAAAAAATTTGTTATGAGCAAACTTAAGATGTTAAGAGCCCAGTCGGATGTACTGTGTGGTAAAAACTTACCTTTCTTTGAGAGGAGAGTGTTGCTGGGCGTGGCCAACCCATGTTTTACGTAAACTTTCCCTCAAGTAAAAATTACTTTGTGCCGATAGAATTCCAACTACCAAGTCATAGTGTTGGTCTTGAATGAAATTCTCTGTCAAATGGTAATCAGGTATTATAGAAAAACTGGTAGAGTGTATTACAATGGGTCATTCCATAGAGGAAATTTCTGCCATCCAATGGAAGAGGGGAGAAATATTTATTTCCGATAATAGTTAAGTGTATTAGGACATCCACAGGGGTAAGGGGGTTAACTTCCAATTTTCTTCAATGAAATGTTTGGCAAATACTGACTTTGTTTATACAGTTGGTGAATCCACAGCGAAACAGAGTCAAAGCTGATAGCTCGGAAGCTAGCAAAATTCTAGCATTTCGGTCAAAATTCAAATTTTTAGCTCAAAATTTAACAAATTCAAATCGTGAAAAACAATGAAAAATATCTGCATCAACTTTTGAAATTTTAGGTGATGGTAAACTGATACGGTACCTTACTTCCATCGGCCTAATGACCAAAAGGCTTTAATAATGACCAAAAGGCTAGTTCCCATATTAGCATCAGAACATAAATCTTTCTGGCTGTACCCCCTTGAAACTTCAACCAGATATGCTACTTTTGACAGGAGGTGCTGCATGTGGGCACATGGAAGGTGGGTGGCAATCCTCGGCCCCTCCCATCTCTCTAATTGACAGTTTGGGGGTAAGGGAGAAATAGAGAGGGAAACAAAAATTTGGGATAACTTTTTTGATAATGGGGTAGGGTTTTAACATCAAAACACAGAGATTATGACTTGTTACCCAGGGGATGGAGAACACAATCCACTGCATAAATTTTCGAATTTGCCTGAAAGCAAAATTAAAATGTAATTTGCAAGGAATTGAATGATCAATTTCCCAGCCCATTTGAAGTATATTCCCATAGTAATTATGGATTTTCATACATGAACACTGCATAAATATGATCAAAAATAGCTAACCTGTATTAATAGCATTATTAATCCCTAAATAATTATCATTTAACACAACCACGTGGAACAACAAACACAGAATTGACAGAACCACATCATAGTTTCTCATGAAAAAAAAACTATAAGTCCTATAAAAAATACTTTTATCTACCGATTAAATACTCGATTAATTTCGTTTCTCACGCACCAAACAATGGCATTCCTCTAATAAATATTGTACACACGATATTGGTTTCTTGACACAACTTTTGAAAGTTTTTCTGGCATGGTGAATTTTTAAAGTCTTCGACTGGACGAATATACGAACTTTAACCCCGGGAATTGTGTCATGTACGTCATGTTATGCGCAATATACTGTGGTGGGACGATAATTTCCAGCAAGAGGGCGTTCGCACTTTAGCCCAGAAAAAAGGCACTTTTTTCATATTTAAAAAAGTGAGGGTGGGGAGACACATGCCCCCATTGCCCCCCCCCTGGTTCCGCGGCCCCTGGCTAGATATATTTGAGAATTGATTTGCCAATTAACGTCAAAACGAAAAATCAATCTCCAACAGGTGCACGATTCAAGCAGATCTTGCCGAATCAATATCTTCTCCCAATGCCAATGGTTTTTGAATTTGAATTTGGCTCAATTTAGCCGTATTTTTAGATTAGTCTGGGTACATAGCCATTTACTCCAGGTTGACATGTAACTCCAGAATTCTTAATTTAAAATTTTGCATATTTTAACATTCGTTTCTTGTTTCTGTGAACCCAAATTTTCAAAGTTTCCCAGATTGACACCCGGACTACCCACTGATCGATGGGACTATCCAACTAAAATATAACATCACATGCACAAAATCAATTTTTGAGACCTCTGTCAGCAGAGAAAAAATCAATACGATTTTCTGAGAAAAGTTTAAAGCTACAATAAATATTAAAGTTAAGAGTCAAGTTACAAAAACAATCTTCCTAATTCATCTCGCGTAAGGTTTAAATTGTTAGCAGGTATTAAAAGCTGATGTTTTTCTTTCATCGAACTTATTTTCACACCGTCATTCTTTGGGCAAACCTTGAGGTTTGACGTCAGGCAAGAAAATTTGCGACAAGTGAAAATTCCTTAGAAAAGGCATTACAATGATACAAGATTCCAAACAGCAAGCATTCTTATTTCAGTCGTTGCTTTATAACTTTACTTACTGACAAGATTTGACATGATATTATGCCTTGTTTGTGTTGAGTTTCAACTTAGACCTATTTTTTCCTAGTTGCTATTATGCCGCTAATAAGTTGAGAAAGAACAAACATAATACTTAAAGTAAAATCACACAAAAATGTCACCGAACTCGTTAAGATATGACAATGGAAACCGGCCTTTAGCCAGAAGGGCGTCCTTGGAGTGGGACGCCCTACGACGACGATGGACGATCCCCCAATTTCTATTGATGACCAAGTTTGGAGAAAAAAGCAGTTACTTGTCACAGACGAGAGTGCTTCTAATGCTTTCTTTTTGTAATATAAAATGTTCAAAACTATAAAATTATTCATTACATTTTTATATATACATATAACTTTACAGTTTGCGATGGTTTTTTCCCCTTGTCGCTGTATATGCTAATACGAGTTATCAAAACTCCGACCATTATTGCGTATCTGTTTATGACACCATTAACCATTACATTGGTCCATTAGATACCTGTTTCTTCTCCTCGTCCACGGCACATAAATTACCTTTCTCTTCAAATTGTTTGTCAACCACGACCGAAAGATAATCCAGAAATTCCTCCAAACATATTGTCTGAGACTTGAAGAAAGAAATACAAATAAAACATTATTGAATCGGAATTGAAGAGCGTTGCTCTTCGTCTATACGAGATCGAAACTGTTCTCCCAAGATTAGACTTAAAGGTTCAAAAGGAGCCACATGTATTGGTCTAGTGTTACTCCAAAGAAAATCTAAGCTAACTCTATTTATACATGCAGAGACTGGGTAGCTCTCTCGGATTTAAACCGTTCTTTCTAGAAATGCAGGAGGAATAGGTACAGTAAGTTGGGGTGTGCCATCATAGAAGCAACGGAGCACAGCTATGCTGGAAGGGTCAGTTTGGCGCTTATTATCCCAATAGACCTTATGCGTAATGGCGTCACAAGGCTTGATGCCCGCGAGAAACGCTGGTCTTAGTAGTCATCGTCCACGAAAATTAAACAATTCAAAATGGCCACTATCGAAATTTTCCCAAGCGATGACTACTAAAATCAGCATTCCTCGCGGGTATCAAGCCTTGTGACGTCATTATGCATCAAGCCTTGTGACGTCATTAACATTCCCCGTGGAAGGAAACAAGAGTACTCGGAGAGAACCACGACTTTCGGTAGAGCGTTAGCCTGACACGCAGGCTAGTAGAGGGTCGAGTGACATTTTTCACAGAAGTGTAATGAGGCCACAGCGAGAATCGAACTCACGTCTCATACGTGAAAGGTACTTGCTGCCTTGCTCTGACGATTGCACCATCGAAGGGCCATACCTCGTTGATGTTATCAACAGTAAGGAACTACTGCAGTAGCCGAAGGAAACCTGCGCTGTTTGGTGGAGTCAAACTAGAAACATTCTTAGGCAAAAAAAAAATATGTGGGTTTCCGGTTTCTTCTTATAAAAACTTAGGTAGGGTAGGTCGGTTTTAACTTTTTTTTTAAACTTTTTTTTTTAATTTTCCGAACAAGCTGACGTCATTTTGTTTAGTCAGTGCTTCCACATACAAGGATAAATTTCCTTAATATTGCCTCAAATTTCAATTTTCCACAAACTTTTTCCTCTAAGTGGAAACACTTACAAGCATAATCCAATAAAAAAGTTTAGGGTCGGGATTTCGACGTCCAAAAGCTAGGTAGGGTCGGGGAAACCGGAAACCCACATATTTTTTTTGGCCTTATCATAATTACTGATGTAACTGAGGCGAAATTTTAGTAAGACCATTGTGTGTTGCATGAATTGAAAAATGCACACAGAGGTGAACGACACATCTGCCAAAATCTGTTTCTGCATGCCACAAACACCTATTTGAGTAGCTATTTCATCGTCAATTCTCAACCATTTATTACGTTATTAGTACTTACAACTTACTTGCGAATAAAGAGCGTGAGCAAGAAAAGGCAATTTTCGTAGAGTTCGACCACTTAACTGGAAACTTTTACTGCAGAAATCAAAATAATATAATCATGCAACCAAACTACATGCAAATACTAAATTATACAATTAATAAATTAGTCTCCTTTCATTCTACTTACTCAGCAATTTTCTTCAATTTCAGACTGCAATGTGTGACATCATTGTCAACAAACCTAACAGAGAAATTATTGGTATAAAATGCTGTTGAAACAAATTCTAATCATGAGTAGGCGCATGAGAAAGTGAGGGTGTCTTGCATTGCATCATCCTTGCTTGCAGCTGAGAGCCTGACAGGTAAGCTGATCATAAATTGCGAAGGATGCATCTCGATATAGTCGAGTCGAAGGCTTTCTGAAGGGCGGTTTTCCACTAGACGAAATTTTTCGATTGAACCGAAATTTCTATTGTTCTGAGTGCTTGTAAGACAAAAGAAAATCTCGATTCGGTAGAAAAATTTCCCCTAGTGGAAAACCGCCTTAAGGGCGCCTCTGCATGAGAGCCACCTTATCACTCATGTCTGATCACGGAGCACAGCTGCGGTGGAAGGGTGAGTTAGGGATTGTCCCAACTCACACCTGTCAACATTCACTGTGGGAGGAAACTCATGGAGGAACTACACCTGACAATACAGGTCAGACTTACGGTAGATATATGCTTTTTGCTTTTTAAAATATAAAAAAGCTGAGTTCAAGTATCTACTGACCTTAATACCTCCAGAGCTCTTCATAATGAAATTATTCCAAGAAAAAGAGAAAAAATGAAAAAGAAAGATTAGAGTAGATCTACATTAACCCATAAAGCAGCAATACGCCCAAATGAGCCCTACTTTGTTGTTTTACTCTGTCTAACGCTAGACGATTTTATACGCCAAGGAGAGAATAATGGATTAAAAAGAGGAATAATATAACTAGTATACAGTGCTAACAAGTTTCTAAATACCTTAGATCTAATATCTGAGTCGCTGGTGAAATAATGCTCGTCTAAATAAAGAAAATATAATAGATCGTTATAGCAAAAACTGGGTCATTCCATTAAATACATGGGGCATAATCTTCAGTTTTGTCCAGCAGGTTGTCATAAAATGGTGCGCGTGCACATTTTTTCTCGACGAAAAAATAATACAAAAAACACAGAAAAGTGGGGAAACCTATACTACACTATTACATAGTTTTTTCACAACGTACTTACTCTTACGAGTTCTTTAATACAAGAATGGTAAATTTTATAAATTGCTTTCGGTGACGGTGGTCCAATATACTGCTTGATATCAGCTCTGAAAACAAAAAATACAAACATCAAATTATATATTCAGGGAAATATTCGATTCTACACACCGGATAAAATACACACGTGGACACTCCAATCTCCATGCTATTCTTGTTTCAAACCTCTAACCTGTCAACAAAAGCCAAGTCTATTGCACCAGTAATATTCGAAGTCGTTAGAATAATGACGTTTGGATATCTAAATTGAAACAACAGGCCAAGTAAAACTTGGTTGGTACATGGGGCTAGGACTATTCGGTGCACCGATATACCGAAAATATCGGTATTAAATCAATATCGGTATATCGATACCGGATATTCAACCATACCGATATACCGAAATTGCCGATATACCGGAATTTTTCGGTATATCGTGTTAAATTTACCAACTATAAGGCGAAACCATAACCTTTATTTTACCACTGAATGGCAATTCAGAGAACTTTCTACTGCAATGATTTAGAATTTCCACTTCGGTGAGATTTTACACTGAGTACATGTTCGAAACAGCTTCGAAATTATCGTTTTCCCTTTTAGAATTACTCAAAATTTCCTTCAAATTCCCATTAAAGAATTTTCCTTTATAATTATCAAAGGAAAACCGGTATACCGATAATATCGGTATAATTTTTTCGGTATACCGATACCGGAAATTTCTCATACCGAACATTTCTACATGGAGCATCTATATACTTCACAAGTTTAGTAAATATGACCACATGTATCAAGCTCTATTTGGCTTTAATATCAGTAATTTCAGTATTGAAAAATGGCCTTTTAGCATTCTATTGACTCCCTGAGCTCTGAGGCAATAGTTATACCTATTGCTCAGACTGCTCTGAGCAATAACTATTGCTTTTCCCCCAAAAATGGCTGAAAATCAGACGGAAGCAATTTATGCAAATTATATTCATATAAATAAACATGTGTATTGTACAACTGAGCTGCAGAAGTTACCTTTTTATTTGGTCAATTTGCGTTAAAAAAGCGTTCACGACACGGATAGCATCAGACGGTTCCTGACCATTTAACGCAGATTTTCGCGCAGCTGTTAAACTTTCAACCTGTAAACAATGGATGATAATCATAGACTATAGTTTAATCGTGATAACTAGTCTTCATTAGTTTCACTCATAAAACCTTTTTTTAATTGAAAATACCATAATCTTGCGATATTATCGGGCTAACACGATCTGAAATCGTAGCAGAGCACGTGCTTACTGCATGGGGAAAGTCCAAAATTTAGGGAAGCTATAAGTCATTATATTTACCTCATCAATAAGAACGCAAACCAAGGCTTGGTTGTCTTCAATCAATTCTTGAATTTTTTGGAACATTTTCATCACTAATTTACCGCTCTAAACAATTAGTATACACACGTAAAAACGCACAACTTGTAACAAACCTGCAGTAGACCTGTACCAATGCTATGATACGAATGTCTTAAGGGCTGGTTTACACTAGTATCAGAGTTTCTGTGATCACAGTAGGAATTTTGCATAGGTAAATTCTAAGTTTTGAAGGATTTGTATAGGAAATGTTTCGGGGAACTGACTGAGTGTTTAATACTAAGTTAGTTCCCTCAAACATGTCTTACAAATCTTTCAAAACTTGGAATTTACCTATGCAAAATTCCCACTGTGATCACAGAAACTTTGATAGTGTAAGCCGTCAGGTTTTTCCCGATAATAGACCTTATGCATAATGACGTCACAAGGCTTGATGCCCGCGAGGAATGCTGGTCTTAGTAGTCATCGCCTGGGAAAATTTCGATAGTGGCCATTTTGAATTGTTTAATTTTCCCGGGCGATGACTACTAAGACCAGCATTCCTCGCGGGCATCAAGCCTTGTGACGTCATTATGCATAAGGTCTATTGTTATAGACTTCTTCCAAGTTTCGCTCAAATTGTCTTCATTTTTTATGGTTCTATCTAGTTTTTGATCAGAACTGACTCGTGATAAACTAGATAGACCCATTAAAATGAAACTGGTCTCATAACAGACTGGATAGGGGCAAGTCTAGGTTGTACAAGAGCAGTACGTATGGCGTGAGAATGCACTCAGCCAAGTATTTATTAACGAGAAAATTGAGTTACGAACACCCATGCATCTACTTCCTTTGCAAAACGTACCTCGGAAAACCATTTTGAAAACAAACTGTGACTATTGATCTCTATCAGTTGACCGTAGGAAAATCTATACAAAAAAGAACATATTAATAAAATATTTAAAAAAATTAAATCTGTTATATAATTACAACAAATCAAAATCGTCCATATTAAGCGAGTTTCATTGGTGAGACAAATTAGTGAGACAGTATACAGCACATATATGGTGGTCATGAACCTCGTCCCCAGGGTCATCTACTGTAAAAAGTGGGATCACTCAATAGGCAATTCCAGCTTTTAGTTTATGCGTGCAGGGGATGATGGGAAGTAAGGTATCATATTGCTGATTATGCTGAAAAAATAAAATTGCTTATACTTGTAAATATTGAAATATTTCGGTTGTTTCGGTAGTTTTTATTGAAATTTTTCAGCATAATCAGCAATGTGATACCTTACTTCCCATCATCCCCTGCACGCATAAACCGAAAGCTGGAATTGCCTATTGTCGGTGGGCTAGGTAGGGACCCATGAATAGTTTCAGGGATCATTCTACCAGATGATCTTGATACGCGGAAAAGTACTGGCACTAGTTGTCAAATAGAAATCCATTTTATGATTAAAACAACTGAATATCTCCTGTAATATACTTTATTTCGATTCCATATTTTTGTCAGAGCTATATATAGTTCTCATATGCAAACATAATTACAAAATTTCAACTAGTTTCATAAAGAATAACGAAAGATATAATTGACTGAATACATCAAAATGGATTTCTATTCGGACAACCCTTTCTGAGCGCTGATTGGCTAAAATACGAACACGAGATCACCTGACCCCTAGGGATCCATGAATAGTTCTAGGGACTCAATAATCTGAGGTTGAGCACTATGCACATGCATGCCACTGCATGTGTAAAATCACCTGTCTGATAGTCGTATCGACAATTTTTGTGCCAGGGCTTTACATAACGAGGTTTTCCCCGTACCAGGAGGACCTGAAAAATACATAGAGTTTGTGAATTAAGTAAATTATGAAGATAAACGAGGTAATTTTATTTATGTATAGTATTATTTCCAACTAACCGTGAAGCAAGACAACTTTGTTCCAGGATATAATATTGTTATCCACTCCTCTATAGAAATAATTTATTTTCACTTTATGTTATTGAGAGCTCAAATACCCTAGCCTCCTCCGCAGGCAACGCTGTATTGTTTTGTACTCTGTATTGTTTTGTATATAACAGGTTTTATATTTGGGATCTCCCCCAATAATCTCGTACCCAGATCTCCCCAGGCCTAAAACTATTTCGCTTGAAGTTCGGCCAAAGTTTGATCATTTACAAAATGCATTTACAATAATAATAATAACACCGCTCTATTTATTGAGGATAAACAGATAAAGTTACAGCTTTTTTCCAATCTGGTCCTCCTAAACTCTATAGACACAACAACAATAACATTAAACATGACTATTTTCAGTACTTCCTATAGGGGTATGAACAAATGAAATCATGGGTACAATGTAAAGTATTAACCAGTACTACAATTCAGTTGTTCATACCTCATACAATACAAAACAAATAAGAGTTGAAATCCTGTTATACAAAACAATACAGAGTTGCCTTTGGGAGGAACATTTGAAATGCAAATTCTGATTCTGCAGACTATTATACAACGACATAGAATTCTGATGACTATATAGTACATCAAAACAAATAAGACAACAGATTTAAGTTTGCTCACGAAAAATTCTGTTTTAACACAGCACATCTAAGACAATTTTCTAGTACAGGCGTTGAATGTTACGGTAATACATGTTTGAGACTTTAGTATAACACAATGTTAACGTCATATGTTACACGAGGCATTTTTTTCTTCAACTTGAATGCACTGATTTCTGACATAGAGTCATGGTTCATCCAAAATGATCGACTGCTTTTTAGAAAACATGGATTTATGTCAGAAATTGCACGTTGGGTAGCAAAAATTGCCTCGTAATTGTTTCACGTATGCAAACCTGTCAGAAAAAAGTAACGTTGTGGCAGCATATTGCAACAGCTATATAGAAAAGAAAATATTCAAACATGAGATTTTAAATTGGCCCCTTCCAATCCAGAAAACTGCAGCGGATTGATAGTAGAACTTCAAAACGTTTGAAGTTCTGCTTACTGATATTTTTCAGGTATACAGTAGCTGTATCGCTATTAATCCGCAGTTTTGTCATTACGAAGACATTAGCGTTACTACCCTATATCCCTTTTAATCAAAAATGTTCCATAACCTATCTAACTTGATTTTGATTTGTTTTTTCCCCGATCAAATTTTGTTATACAGTGTAGCCACTGTACTGGTTTTTCACGTTGGCCAAAAGTCAGAAAAGTCAAAATTTTGTCCGTTAAACGTTTTGCCAAAGTTGTCAACAAGTTTGGAATAAGCTGTAATTCAACCTTGTTGATGACATTAATCAGACTAGTTGCAAGGTTGTTCCAACAAGTCCGATGCAGTCGTGATGTAACAATATTGTTACAACCTTGTATCGTCGACCTTGTAACATTCTTGTTATATCATGACTGTATCAGACTTGTTAGAACAACCTTGTAAGTCTGATAATGCCACCAAGTCTGTTACAAGCTGTCAACAGCTTGTTCCAAACTTGTTACAACAACTTGGAACATGCAGAGCGAACACAAGTGCAGTGTTGTCATTAGCTTGTGAACAGATTTGTAACAACTTGTTTGCAGACCCGTGTGTTGTTGAATTCCTATATCCATCGACACTTTTCCGGTATTTGAAATTAAACAATCTGTAGAATGTTGTTGCCTGAAATACCGCGCATGCCGCAATAATTTGCATCACAGATTACGTCATCAGTTAGTTATAGTGATTAGTGTTGGGGTTAGGGTTGGGGTAAGGGTTAGGATTAGAGATAGGGATTGGGTTATATCTGTCGCGACAAACAACACAACTAGCCGATCAGGTGATCAGTTCTCCTCTACCCGAGGAACTAGCCGAAGTTCCCAATGCAACCAACCTGGTGCTTAACATCTGAATCGAACAGCAAACTTTCCCACAAACCATGAAATTCGTCTATAATCCAACGTAAAAAAGTCATAATTAAAGGCACAGTTCAGTCTTTTGATTGAAAAAACTAACCAGGAAAGTAAAAATGTTTTAAAATGTTAAAAACATTAAGTTCGCTGATCTTGAAATATGCTTAATTGATTTTCCTAGTTAGTTTTTTTCAATTAAAAGGGCTGAAATGCGCCTTAAAAACCATCATTCAAAAGACTAGATAAAATGATAATACAAATGATATTATCTTTGGACAGAAGAGCAGACTTTGGGGGTAGTCGACTACACTCAATTTCGGGTTCCAGACGTCCAGAAGTATTTGAAGAAATATTTCAAAACTTCCCAACAAGTTGTTTGAATTTTAGGTTAACCCAGGGTTGATGTATGATATATATATTATAATTATATAAATATATTACGCTACCTGCCTCGTCTAACCCTAGCCTATGCATGGTTATTGCAGCTAGGCTGCATGCACTTTATAGAGACCGGTCATAAAGTAACTGCTAGGGTGAACCAGAGAGATTTGGGATGTGCCATGGAAAATCTTTGTGCGGTTTCGATGGGCCGCCAACTTTTTTGTACGTCCACGGTTGGGCCACCAAGCAAAAACCCATGTCTACTTCAAAAAATAGGTATGCGATGCGGACATGTATCCAGGGGTGGAAAAAATATTTTATTTTGTGCAAATTTTGTCCCGCCATCATTTTGCAAGTAGTTCAACTTGTTGAACCTTATACGACTTGTTGCGGGAACAAAACGTTGCAGCGATGCCATATGACCTTTCGTGTGCATGGTGCTGCAACATGTCCCTGTAAAATAATCCCTGGTGTTTTCGGACATAATTTTGTCCCTGGCCAATGCCTCTGCTACAACATCCTGCTACATGCCCCCTTGTGTGTATTGCGTGTGATTTTGTCGCTGGTAGTGGAGTTGTCGCTGCAACATGTCCCCGCACCAAAACCCTTCGTGTCTCGGCACCTTTATGAAAATTTGTGCACTTTCACAGTCAGAGAACATATTGTTTTTTTCTGTATAATGAAGCGATTGCCCAATGGAAACCTGACACTTCAACCGTAAAATTAAAGCCGAGTATCTTTAGGCACTGCCAATGTTTTAAATTGATTCAAAAACGATCAATCTAGTTCATTGGCGAAGTCATTTTCAAAAAGTATGTTGTGTAAATCAAGAAAATCAAAGTTAAAGTTTATGCAAATCTCTATCACATATTAAGATACGACACGCTTATGATTTTTCTCTGTATTTTTCTCATGAATTATTGGGTTTCATATGACGTCGCAAAAGTGACGGAGGGTCAACTCTAAAACAAATCACAGTTATCAGAGTGAGTCGATTGTTCGTTTTATGTATTAGCTTTGTGTTTGGTGGCAGATACATGGAATTTCGTATTATTTTCTCACTCTAGTACAGCATAAGCATCAATACATTCAAGGTTGACACCCCGTCTGATTCGCTGCATAATGCCTTATAGTGTAACCCAATAATACGCTACCGGCAAGCTCGCCGAAAGCTGTTGCCTGTTGTAAAAAACTATTTGTATTACTAATTTACGAAATGTAAGAATCGGGTGCCATACTCCAGCAAGCTGCTCCATTTACTGTTCGGAGTACTCCAGAATTTCGGAACTTTAATGGAATGGAACAGAAGAGAATAACATGACTGTTCTGAACTGTTCTGACTACCCCGATTTTCGAGTAGGGGCAGCCAGAACAGACACGTGACACTGCCTATTTTCACGTGATTGGAAATGAGGCGACATATTTTGTGTATCCAATGCAC